GATTTCAGGTTTACGATTTACCGAGACACGCGAGGTGAGTCTTCTCACTATACTTTACCTTGAGTAGGTAACCAGAGTTATGTGATAGAGTATTTGTATGCTATGTATGTTATGTGTTGTACTGCATTACTTCTATGTGTTTGATGCTGTGCATGTTTACAGAGTTAGAACCGGAAGGTTCACAGAGTTAGAACCTGAGGGTTCACAGAGTTTGGGTGCACGGACCCACAGAGTTATAGCCTCGAGTGGCTAATATGTGTTATATGTAGTATTTTGGGGAACTCACTAAGCCTTGTGCTTACAGTGTTGATGTTATTGTTTCAGGTACTAGTGACGACCGCGGGAAGGCGCCGGCTTGATCCGTACACACACACATTCGGAGCTTGATATCATGATCTTGGGATTTTGTATTGTCTTGTTTGGATAATTAAAATGGTTGTTTAATGAATATCAATGGAATCATGTTTTATAAAAATTGAAAAATTTGTTTTGAAAATTTTCGGTGTTACAAATATGAACATACAACCTATAAAATTATTCTATCAGAATATTCTACATATACATAATAATTAAGTCTTATTAACATTACATATATCTATAAATTATAATATCATTTTTTTTTGTAAAAAGGTCATTACATATAAATCTATAAAAACCAACAAAATTTAACATTATTCTAATAGAATTTTCGAAATGTCAATTTTTTTGAGACAGTAAGACCATGAGACCACTTTTCTCTAGTAAATTATTCTAATATTTCAGTGTTCATAAAAATATAATATATGTAATATTCTAATATTCTAATATTCTAAAATATATAACATTCTTCACATAAAATTATTATACATGAAAATACAACCTATAAAATTATTCTATTAGAATATTAACATTATTCTAATAGAATATTATAAATGTACAGAAAACCTATAACATTACTCTATTAGAATATTGTACATGAACTATAACAAAAAATGAACATTTAATCATAAAAAGTATGATATTTCAGATTGTTCAAATCATAACTATTTTTTAACCAGGACTATTATTTTGTGAAACATTCACTGGCCATTGAAACAACCATAGCTATTGTTCAAAACTAAAAAAAGATAACCAATATTTAAACGAACAAAACACTACCATGTCATTCATAATCAAAGACTTTCAAATATTCTAAGTAAATTATTCACATCCTTCCAGTATGTTTCTTGCATCGATCCATTCCTTCATCATTTTTAATGACCATCCTTATCAACCCTTCCCTATTCCTTTGCTTTGTCAGTTACTTTCTTATGGAATTGGAGTCTGATTGGTCAAAGCATAACTATTTTGTATGCTTCTTATTCTGCAGAAAACCTTCTTTACCCAAGTCATTATTTCACATTTCCACTTATTGTTCCAGAATAAATTTCCATCTATCGCATTAAGAACACATCAGAATCGCATCAAGAACACATCAAAATAAATTTCATTAGCTTTCAATGTGTATCAAACACTAATCCTAGCTACAGTAAATAATTTCAAAAGTATATAACTGAAACTACAATAAAGAAGTTCATTTCTAACCTAAGCTATAGTGAATCTGCATTAAACACTAACCATAGCTACAATATAAATTTCACAAAAGTAATTCCTTAATTAGAATAAATTGTTTAACAACTTCCTAAAGCCTATTACAAGAGATGATTTAGAATCTACAATATGTAGAATCTAAATCTGAATATAATATTATCAAACTAAAACATAAATAGACGAATTCAATTATGTCAGGATAGAATAACAAATTCTCAAAATGTATTTTAGTTTTGACTTATCAGAGTAAGCAGTAATATCTGGTTAATCAATAAAATAACATCTCAAATCAAATTTATGAAGTAACACCTAACTTTACAAATCATAATACCTAGAATATTAAGTTACCAAAGACTATTTTACTAATATTTTTACTGGATCATCTAACTTATCAAACAAAGTAACATCTGAGTCAAATTAAGAAGTAACATATTACTTATCAAACTAGAATAGTTATAATATCAAATTATCAAATAACATATCACTAAATATTTACTAGATAATCCAAATACTCAAACAAAATAACATATAAAATCAATTTAGGAAGCAAGTTATGTTTGCATAACATTCTATCATATTCAATAACAATTTTATTGCAGAAAATATGAAATTAATACAGAGTGCATTATGTCGAACACCTAGCGGGTGATCACTAAATTTACCAAACACCTAATTGACACTAGAATTATGAAACTAATAAGATAAACCAAACAAACTAAGATATTAAATCAAATTATAATTCAAATTCCAAGAATATCTCTACAGATTTTGTGAATAACTTCATTTATGCATAATAACATAGCTTGGATTGTAGATTTATTAACATTGAAATTGTTAACAGCCAAAAATGAGTCAATGGAATCATTTATTATCTGATGAGAAGAATCCTTCCTTAACTACGAATCATGAGAAGTAGCAGTTGAAGGATTGGCAAAACCATGATTCAAGATCAGAATATGAATAAAAACGTTTAAAATCAAAATGACAGTGAATCAAAATTGATTTTTAGGGTTTTATTGGGGGTTCTAGAAGATCGGTGCAAAGTAGAATCAGAATGAGAAGAAATCTCATAGAAGACACAAACTTAGCGAAATTAACTCTTTTTGAGAAACATTGAGTTGATTTGGAGAATGGCTAAAAATGTGGATACGATCTAGGGTTTTGATTTGACCGACTAGGGTTTTCCAAATTAGAATATGTAGAACAAGAATTATTCAGCAGGTTAATTACACAATCTGAACTCTAAAGGCTTGAATTAATACCTGTTTTGCGAAGTGAAGTAGTGTATAATCATAATATGCTTCTGTAGAATGAGGCATTTCCCTGATTGTTTCAATGTGTTTATCATGGTGAAGTGCAAGCCATATTAAAATCAAAAACAAATTGTTGAATTTAGAAAGAGATGAAAGATTATGAATCGGTTTCTAGGGTTTTGAATGCACAAATCTGAATCGAGATAAAATTTGAGTTCTTCTGTGTAGAGGGTTTTTTTTTGGAGGAAGCAAGATGTAACATGAATAGATATTGAATGACGGTGGATTATTTTGACGGATAAAAGGTATATTGTCAAAACTACCCCTCCGTGTCCTTCCTCTAATCCTGAAGTTTGATCAAATTGCAAAATTGCCACCGCCTTTATTGTTTTAATTTGAGTTAATTCTACCCATAGATTATTATAGATTAGTGGTTCAGATTCTGTCCCCATGTCTCACAAAATATCATTGTCTCACATGAACTCAACCATATATATATATATATATATATATATATATATATATATATATATATATATATATATATATATATATATATATATATATATATATATATATATAGGGAAGGGTTATTTGGAAAAGAAAAAACCCTAAAAATCATAAAAATGCATAAAAAAATACTTAGAGATCAAAAAAAAATTCAAATTTTTTATAAAAAATTGCAGCTTTCTATACAAATTCACTAAAAAAAATTTTGAAATTTTTTTTATAAAAAAAATAATTGATTTTTTTTCATCGAATTTTAAGAAAAAACTATGATTTTTTATATAAAAAAATTCAAAAAAAGTTTTGTGATTTCTATGTATTATGTTATAATAGTTTATTTAATAAAAATCACAAAAATTTATGAGCCCAATAATTTGAAAAAATATCCAACAGCCATTAATCCACTTAGAACTCTACATATTTAAAACCATATTCTTCTATTATTTTTGAATTCCCTAGAGAGTAGGGGCGGCTCAATCAATTTGAGGATCTTAGTAAATAAAAAAATTGAGGCCTTGAAGTAAGCAAACTTTTTCGAACTTGAGATCTTTATATATATATATATATATATATATATATATATATATTATATATATATATATATATATATATATATATATATATATATATATATATAAAAGGGTAAACATTAAAATTGAGGGCCCTAAGCCCTGACTTAGTTTTGCAAAGAGTAGAACCGATCCAGCTCGAGAGAAGAGAGGATGAGAACAGCAGCTGGAGCACCTCAGCCACCGGAGGACCGTCATCACTTTACCAACACCGCCACCGAACTTCCGCCTACATTCTCCTCCAATGATCACCGGCGCCACCCATGCCATTGAAACATCATCGTCGTTGTACAAACACCTCCTACAGAACGCTGCCTCTATATCCGACCACGCCATCTTTCATAATGTTAATATTTTTCCCAACTTAGTCTTTCGATCTTGGATAAAAAAACGAGTTCTAAAACTCAAACATATTCCGGAGCTCAAAGAAAGATTTTGTGAACACGGATCTTACCTTGTCAATCATATTGATGTATGCGTGTTTTCTTTTGACTATTTGAAACCTTATAATGAGATTACTACATAAAGGATTAAAATTTGATATGAAAGATCGTACAATGAAGCAACTTTTTGCATATGCTCATCTCTATTTTAACATGTACGCATCTCAAAAACAACAATAACACTGAAACACAAGACAACCAAAGACTTGTTCATCTCTACTTAAACATGTATGCATCTTAAAAATGACAATAAGGCTTCAACAAAATATTATCGAGAGATAAAGAACAAATTTTCACCATGTTCCACCTTTTTGTTTGGATTGTTAGAACAAGAAATTGCAAGTTTTGTCTCAATCCATTGTGAGGCCAACACACACCAAACACTTATTCACAAACGGCGTCTAAAATTATTAAAAAGTGCCATGATGATTGGCTTAAACATCATATACTCATATATATAACATCGATCTTTGTAGTTCATAAAACAGCAAAATTCACAAACTACATCCATAGAACACATCTAATTAGGAACAAATAAAAATTTCCAGTATATAAACATAGGGACAACACACAAGCATCACACTATTACGGCTTTTGGAATATGAACCTCACATCTTCTTTTATAAAGATGAACATCATGTTGACTGTTGAACTCACACTTACCTTGAAGACGCTTGAGTTGAAGCCGAGGGGTTAAAGGGTTTCTGCTCAGCACACGTCAGCACCTCATGGGGCCCACCTTCTTCACGTCCAACACCCATCAAGTCAAGATAATACAAGTAATGGGAAACCACAGTGTTCATGTCATCCACATCGCCTTTTCCACATGTACGATCACCATAAAGGATATTCATTGTGGTACCAAAACCGGGGAATCTTTTGGCTAAAGTATCGTTTTTGGTGGGTTTCCAAGTACCCACAAATGCCTCATGGGCTGAGGGCTGACCCTTCTTCATTGGGGTTACCCACGTGTGAATTGCAGCTTGGAAGGCTAAGGTCGCGTTTTGTTCGATGTATTCAGGGTGGTTCAAAAGATCTACGTTTAGGGCTTCACCAATTTTCCCATAGTTGTATTGCCTGAAATAATAATAATAATAAAATAGATCCATCTATTAAAATATGTTTGTTACACTGGAAGCTTTTCTAGGGCTACCCATTTTAAATAGGACAAATATTATAATTTTTGTCTTATTCACGTCAATGTTATGTTTGTTACATAGGACTCGATATGAACTGGACTAGACTAAATAAGCTTTCTAGGGCTACCCTTTTTATATGGGACAAAAAAATTGCAATTTTTATATGGGACCAAAAAATTGCAATTTTTGTCTTATTGACATCAGTGTTGTCGGTCAAAACCAGAAAAACATCTATTGTGTTATGTTTGTCACATAGGACACGAGATGAACTGGACTAGACTAAATCTAACAGAACAATAAACTTTCTAAGCTACCCTTTTTACATGGGACAAAAAATTGCAATTTTTATATGGGACAAAAAAATGCAAATTTTATCTTATTGACATCAATGCAATCGGTCAAAACCAGAAAACCATCTATAGTGTTATGTTTGTTATAGAGGACACCATATGAACCAGACTAGACTAAACTCACAGAACACTAAGCTTTCTAGGGCCTCCCTTTTTACATGGGACAAAAAAAATTGCAATTTTTATATGGAATAAAAAAATTGCAATTTTTGTCTTATTGACATCAGTGTCAAAACCAGAAAAACATCTATAATGTTATGTTTGTTACATAGGACACAACATGAACTAGACTAGACTAAACCTGACAGGACAATAAGCTTTCTAGGGCTACTCTTTTTACATGGGACAAAAATTGCAATTTTTATATGGGACAATTTTTTTTTGCAATTTTTGTCTTATTGACATCATGGCAGTGTCAGCCAAAACCAGAAAAACATCTATAGTATTATGTTTGTTACATAGGACATGACATGAACCAGAAAAACATCTATAGTATTATGTTTGTTACATAGGACATGACATGAACTGGACTAGACTAAATCTGACAGAATAATAAGCTTTCTAGGGCTACCCTTTTTACATGGGACAAAAAATTGCAATTTTTATGTGGGACGAAAAAAATTGCAATTTTTGTGTTATTGACATGGACAAAAAAATTGCAATTTTTATGCGGGACAAAAAAAATTGCAATTTTTGTCTTATTGACATCAGTGCCGTGTCAGTTAAAACCAGGAAAACAGCGTTAGTGTTATGTTTGTCACATAGGACACGACATGAACTCAACTAGACACAAGAAGCTTTCTACGGGCTACGGCAATAAGGCTACCCTTTTATATCAGACATTTTTTTTTTTTTTTTTTTGCAATTTTCGTCTTATCAACAGTCAAAACCAGAAAAACATGGATGTGATTGATACCAATAAATGGGCAAAGCACCACGACCATAGTATCCTGCTCCAGGGGCACAAGGGTAAGTGTACTTGTAGAAATCATCACAATACTCATGGGGAGGACTCATTTCTTTGTTGTAGCATAATCCCCATGCTGTTGGTCCTCCAGTTGCCACTCCATAACCACCTTTAAAAAAAATTTAACCAATCAACTTTATATTATCTTGTTTTTTTTGTAGCTAATATATCAATTAGCAAAATAAAGAGACATAATCGTTGAGATTTTGACTAAAACAGAAGAAGTATTTGTTAGCATAATCAATTTAACAAACAATATAGAACTAAAAACTTACAAGAAGTTTGACTACCAACATGGCCAAGAAACGCCGCGATCTCCTTCATCTGGGTAGTCTTGTTGCCGGTTGTACCAAATCCATGCGGCTGATAAAGGGCGGAGGCGGTGATAAAAGACTTGTAATCCCAGAATCCGGCGGCATGGGCCACCGGAGAGTTTCTTTTTGCAAAGAGTTCCTCAAACTGGTAGGTGTCAAAGTAGTCGGAAATTGTAAGGTTACAGCAATACTCCGACCACCCTTTACATTCCCAACCCTTATCACATACTTTCTTCCCCTTCACCTTCTTCACCAATACTTGTGTTGAAGAATCAGCATTCGCGATCGAAACAATTACAAGCAGTATGCCGATTAGCAAAACACTCGTCTGTTTTGCCTCCATTTTTATCTTGTGCTGAAAAAGAAGACAATAACGAAGAATTAAGAGACACCCAGATGCCAATTGAGATCTTTTTGAGGGGGGTTTAGTAAAAAAGATTGAATTTTTAAAGAAATGAGAGACACCCGGATGCGAAAATGCACAGATGATGTATGAAAACAAAATAAAGACAACTTCTTTTAGACACCAATAGGATGAAAGTAGCAGAATACCCTTGAATAACTCTTGTTTCTTGTTAGAATTATTAGATGGAAGAAGAGAAAAAGATAGAGAAAGCTTGACAATGGAAAGAAAAGAGGGGTTGTGTGTGATATAAAGAAGTAAAACTTACAGAAAACGAATGCGTAACTCACTGAGATCAAATGTCGTTTGTTTGATGGAGATGCAATTGAGGTTGTGGGAAGTTGTTGTTTGGATTTTTGCTTGGGCTACAAAGCAAGGAATGTAGGGAAGAGTGTTGGGTGTTAGGTGAATCAATGGAGAGATGGAGTAGATGATGGAATGGACGGTGGAGATTGACGGATCGGAGGTGGGTTGGGTGTATGAATCATGGAAGGTGCTAGATGATTAAAGTGGAGCCGACTGGATTAGACATGACGCAAACACATTTTAGTAGTAGCTTTGAAGACGATGATGACTCACCAACTACATAAATGAATTGAGAATTTGAAATAGAACTCGTCACCGACACCTCACCTTTCCTTTTTATGTTTTCCTAATTTTGGTGAAATAAGTTATTTAAACCTTTTGAATTATGAGTGTTTGGGGTTGTTTTTTTAGATTTAAAAAAAACTAATATGTTAAAAAAGTATCTGGATAGCAAAAATAAATTTTAAAATGTTTCTTGATAAGGCTGAGAACTCAAGTTTAAGAAATTACAAATATTTGATTTTTTGGAAAAGTAATAATTCAATAAGTTATTTTTGGGTTATTCTATATATAAGTTAGCTCAACAATGTTGTTTGATTTTTCAGAGTTAAAATGTCTATAATCTGTCGAACATAGCTGTAGACTGCTGTGGTATAAAAGATTGATTAAACGTCTCTAGTTTGTAAAAAGAAGACTATTTGTTTTTTAAAATTCGTAGGCCGAAAAATAAAATGAAACCTAAATAAAATGTTTTTTAAAATCTAAAATACATTTCAATAATTCTAATATAGTAACATTGAAATTTAATCATACAACTATCTTATTTTAATATTTATCACAAATTAATTATCCATTTTATGAAAAAAAAAAAGTAAGTTAGTAAAATATTTTCATACATGTAATACATTTGATTTTTTTAGTTAAAGTTGTCAAGTGTTATTAGATAAACATTCTTAAATAATTATCCGTAAAGGTTTTAAAAATATGAAACCAAAAAATTATGCAAACAAATAACAAGTTTATTTAGCTAAAATCGTTAAATTAACACAATCATACATAGATTTAGAAAATAAAAAAGAATATACTTTATTTGTAAACTTATTGCAAAGTCTCCACAACAAAAAATAAATAAATAAATAAATAAACATATGCAACCAAAAAGTTATGTGAACAAATAACAAGTTGATTACGCTAAAATCATTAAATCAATACAATTACACATAGATTTAGATAATAAAAAATATATTTTATTTGTAAGCTTATTCTAGTGTATGGTGGTTTGATGGTTTTCTTTTATTTATTTTTTTCTTTTTGTCCAATGATAGGAAATGATACAAAATGTGTGAGACTTCTTGTTTGCTATTAGAATTAGTGGAAGGACTAAGAAGAGATTAGAATACACTCGTCAATATTTGTTTCAAGAAGAGGTCCATATTTGCACCAAGAAGATGACGCGTTGATATTTGCATAATTAGTTAATTATTTAACATATATTCTTGGTTATTTTTGGTTAGTTATGAGAATAATATGGACAAAAGGTACTTAAAATGCTTTGAATTGTGTTTTCAGTCCAAAAGATATGCTTGGAGGCAAAAAGGAAAAAAAGGGAAAGCAAGTGAAGGTTAAAGAATGGAAAGAGAGACTTACTCGGCGAGTAGGTCGGCATTACTCGGCGAGTACGCGATGAGATGCCAGGAGATATGTACGACTGCTGATCTAGAGAAGGATAAGTATTGACCTACTCGGCGAGTTGATTCTGCTACTCGCCGAGTACCCTCTGTTTTGGGATATCTTTAAAAGACGAATCCTTATCACATGGGACAGAACCCCTGGCGAATTTTGAAGGATTAGCTGCGACTAAAAGGTTCAGAAGATGCTGGAGAACCCTAAGCTTCAAGAGTTGGAAGAATTCAAGTAATTAGGTTGATTCTACCACTTAGACTTAGGAATTAAACATGTTTGCTTCATAAACTTTGTTTTTATGCTTGTTTCTACTGCAACTATGAGCTAAACCGTTTTTGTTTCTGTTTGGGGAATACCAAAGAACTCCTATGGTTTAATTATTGAATTTTGTTTAATTGTCTATTGGTGATTTATTAAATTAAGTTTGTTAAAGAACCTTATGTGTTAATCACTACTATTTTCTGTTAATTGGAAGGCAATTAGGTTGCATGAACATCACTTAATTGTTAACCTCATATGTCTATGTGAATGCTAAAACATATGCTTGGAAGTAATGAGTATGAAACTAAGATTAATAAGAAAATAGGAAGATTAATGTGTGAGCTTGTTTGAGAAACCATCAACAAGAGGTTAATTGAATTAATAACTTAATTGACCATTACAAATCTTATTTAATCCAAATAATTAATCTAGGGAATTAATTAGTTTAAACACTTGATCAACGCTTAAATTAGTTAATTGTCTAAGGGTTAGGAGTAATGAACATGAACCTAACTACTATCATTGGTAACCAATAGCAATTAATCTACCTTAACTTAAATAACCATAGGAGTGAATTGGTTGAACCTAAATAGAAACATCTTTATCAAATTTGGTGAATAGTTGTTGCTTTAGTTAATTAGTTAAATTTAGTTTGTTTAAGTTTCTAGTCTTGCAAAACTAGAGAAAAACCATTTACTTTTATTATTTGTTTTAGTTAAAATTAGCTATTAGTTTAATTTCCGTTCCCTGAGTTCGATACCTTACTTATCAATCTATACCACTTAAAGACAGGTTCACTGCCTTTGTGTGCTCAAATTATTAATAAAAAGTAGGGATAAAACTAGTTGAATTTACACACATCAAGTTTTTGGCGCCGTTGCCGGGGAACGGTTCTAAATAATTAAGCTAATTCCTAATTTTTTCGATCCTTTGTGTGAGTTTACTTGCATAAAGTTCATTTATTGCAATTTAGTAACTAGTAATTAGGTTTTAGTATCTGTTTTAGTTAGGTTAAAAACTTAGAATTTTTTTTGAAAAATCACTGATACTCGCCGAGTGCACTCGCACCTACTCGGCGAGTAACAGCTTATTTAGAAAAAAATTTTCTTTTATTTGTTTACAATCTTTTTGTTCTTTTTACGCTTTTATTTGATTAATTTCAGGACTTTCATGACCAGAGGAGCAAACACACCACTGGTACCCCCGTTTGAAGACCCCGAATCCGAATTGAAAAGAAACAAAGGGAAGGACGTGGAGAGTTCAAGCACACCAAAGAAATCACCATTGTCCAACTTGAAGACTGTTTTCGGGAAAAAGAAGAGCAGCAAATCAGGAGCTTCAAGCGCTTCCTTAATAATTGAAGAGCCAATTCAAGAAGAGATTAGATACGAAACCGAGGAAGAAGACGAGGCAACTTACGAACAAGACACCGAATCGGAGGAAGAGTTAGCATTCACTATGGCTAACATTGATGAAATTCCCATGGGAGAATGGAAGAAGAGGATGCGCGACGACCATGGCCCGGGACTTGTGCAACCCGCAATTCCCGCAACTGCCACCTTTGAGCTAAAAGGTCATATCCTAGCTTCACTCAAGGAAATACCTTTCTACGGGAAAGATCATGAAGATGCCTACAAACATTTGGATGAAGTAAATGATGTTGCTGATTACTTCAACATTCCAAATGTCACCCGCGAAACTCAGCTGCTTCGGATGCTTCCGGTAACCTTCAAGGGTGCTGCTAAAGACTGGCTCAAATCACTTCCTCCCGGGTCAGTCACTACTTGGGCCAGAATGAAGGAAGAGTTTATTGATCACTTTTGCCCACCATCCAAGATAGCCAAGCTCAAGAAGGCCATTGCAAATTTTGAACAACAAGCTGGAGAGTCGTTATATGAAGCATGGGAAAGGTACAAAAGTCTGCTACGAAATTGCCCACACCATGATCTAAATAGCCAACAAGAAGTTTCCATCTTTTATGATGGAGTCAATGTCACGACCCGGCAGCTGCTAGACTCACAAGGCCCACTTACAAAGAAGCCACCCCCGGTGATCAAAGAATAATTGAAGAATTCTCTAAACACTCTAGAGAATACCACAACCCTAGGAATGATGTCACGAGGGGAGCCGCATACGCTGCTACTGAAGATTTATCCGCGGTTATGGCCATGTTAAAAACCATGGATAGAAGAATGGACAAAATGGATCAAACTATCCATGCCATACGGGTGGGTTGCGAGAATTGCAATGGACCTCACCTCACTAGGATTGTGATTTGGATGAGCACGGCAACAAAAAGGCACAAGTATGCTATTCGAGCGGTGACCGGTATGATGAAGACTGGCGAAAACAAAAGAAGGAGTGGCTGCCTTACGAAGAGTACAAGAAGGCCAAGGAGGAGAAGTATAGACAAAAAGGGAGAGGCTTTTACCAAAAGGAGGAGCCGGTGCAAGAGAAGAAGCCAAGCTTGGAAGATATGCTAACTAAATTTGTGGCTGCTTCCGAGAAAAGACACAGTGACCACGATGCTGCTATCCAAGAAACAAGAACAATGCTCAGGAACCAGCAAGCATCCATCCATAATATAGAAACTCAGCTTGGGCAACTCGCTCAACAACTAAACCAAAGGTCACCGGGAGAGCTTCCTAGCAAAACCGAGAACAACCCACGAGGCGCGCAAGTGAATATTGTTACCACAAGAAGTGGGAAGATTATTACTCCCTTGGCCCCCATTCGAACTGAAGCGAACAAGGACTCACAGAAGGAAGAAACGGAAGTACAAGTTGAAAACCAACATTCACAATCTGAGAGCCCTACTCGCCGAGTAGGACCGATGGACTCGGCGAGTACATCTGAAAAAACTAATGATCAGCCACCCTTGAAACCATACCAGCCTCCAATGCCATACCCAGCCCGAGCCAAGAAGGAGAAGCAGGAAGAGGAATATCAGAAGTTCCTTGATCATATTAAAACTCTTCAAATAAACATTCCTTTCATTGAAGCCGTTATGCAAATGCCCAAGTATGCAAAGTTCCTTAAGGAACTCCTTACTAATAGAAGAAAGATGGAAGAGGTGCAGAAAGTAGTATTGAATGAGAATTGCTCCGCCGCCATGCTAAACAAATTACCAAAGAAGAAGGGTGATCCGGGGAGCTTAACTCTACCTTGCCAATTTGGCAACTTGGCAGCAATTCATGCTTTAGCTGATTCTGGAGCGAGTGTGAACCTTATGCCGTACTCGTTCTTCAAAAAGCTGGACCTCCCGGAGCCAAGGCCAATTCG